TATATATATATATATATATATATATATATATATGCTGTTTGTCTTAATAAATTGGGCAAATTAAAAAAATTTTTTTTTAGCTATATCGCCCAATCTTAGTTTAGCCATATATTAGATTATTGAGAGTGTTGGATTATAGCTATCCCAAATTCCCGTGTTATGTGTTCTAGTACTTCAGGATAAAATTAGCAAATAAGCAGACACCCTGACAGGCACACTCACATATCACTTTTTAGGTTCATTAAAATAATAGTACAACTGCTTTTGTTCTTCATAATAGTTGTACAGTATTATTTCTGCCACCACACCTGCCCTACAAGCATAAAGCAATAAACATAAAGCAATATTTTGTGGTGGAGGATAGATTCCATTATGACAGCTTGAGCATTTTCTTCTTTTTTCAGTGAACAGCAAAAAAGGGAATTCGCCAAGTACAATAAATAAAAATTAATGCTTGAAAAGAATTGTAACTGTCAATCTTCCTCTGCTTTTTGCAGGAGCTGCTGTCTCTTGCCAAGAGAAAGCGTGTGGATTCTGATGAACAGGAAGAGCCTGTTAGTAAACCTGCCGCCTCCACAGACTCTGAGACATCAGACAGCGATGATGAGGTATAAAGCCTTTCTATTATTACATTTTGGTGCTGATTATTTGGGTTTTCTTAGTGCAATTAGACATTTTGGATATTCAGTACATTTGCTTGAACTGTTTAGAAATATCAATCAGAAAGCTCAGAGCTGGGCAAACACAGTTGTTCATACTCCTCACAACTGGCCTGTTTTATCTGATGTAATTGTGTCACATCACATTACTTCACAAATAAAAGGACTATGCACTAAATTACTAGGGATGCTCTGATCAGGATTTTTGCAGCCGATACAGAGTACTGGTTTCTTGTCATGGTGATCGGCCGATACCGATGACGATTCTGATGCTTCAAGCTTTATATAGATGGTTTCATCGGACGCACCCGCCTGGCCCGAAGTTAACTTTCGGTCTGTGTTTGTTTATCAGTCTGGCTGTGGCACCGGCTACAAATGCAGTTAAAGTTAAGGTGATGAGTAGACTGAAGTTGAGCTCAGGTGGTTGTGCTGTGGGATGTGTTTCCCATACATTTATTTATTTGTGGCGCTGCCTCAATATCAAAACTGACCGATTTTCCAAAAGGCTTCGTTGAATAAACATGGGCACGTACTGCACGTTTAAAAATCATAACGAGGCGCGGGTGTTTTTATATCTGTCATTTTCATTTCATCTTGCTTGTTATATGCCTGATAAAGCAGCGTTTGTGAGCTCAGTGCTACTTTGTGTACAGCTGTTACTGGGGAAACCTCTGTTTCTCCTGCTTGCCGCTTTAAAGCACCCCCTGCTGGCAGAGAATGAATTTGCATTTTCAGTAAGTCCGTCTGATTTATGCAGCAAACATATTTTGCTTGTTATCAAAAATTATCTACTCAAGAGGGACTACTTAGCTATTGTTATTGATTCTATTTGGAAGTCTACCGGAAGTTAAGTTAGGGCCACAAAAGCGTGCATGCTCAGTAACGTTTGTTTATGTTGTTGCCGTTGAAACCGTCTATAACATATGTAATAATGTTATATAAATAATCACAAAAATGATTCCTTATACAGTGAACATTTGAATATGCCTTAAAAATGGGGTTTATGCATAACATTGTATATCAGGATACTTAATATGAGACAAGAATAAATACAAACAAAATTGAGCATTACATTTACATTTAGTCATTTAGCAGATGCTTTTATCCAAAGCGACTTACAAATGAGGACAATAGAAGCAATCAAAACTAACAAAAGAGCAACAATATATAAGTACAAATGACTTTTCATTTTTGGGTGAACTATCCCTTTATGTCCCCACGCATCTTGTACGTCGTCATGCGTTGACATAATCAAATTGCGATCGGTTCGTGAGATTGGCCAAGTGTAGTGAGTACCGATCAAGTCATAAAATGTGATTATCGGCCGACACCGATCTCCGGCCGATCGATCGAAGCATCCCTATAAATTACCATTGCAGTTTTTCTGCATTATTTACTCCAAGTGAACTAGCTGATCCAGTGGTTTCCCTAAGGACTAATGGTATTCCAGGATGCCTGCTAAATCATTTAATCAGCACCTTACCATCGCTGCATATGAATTCTCGGGTCCTCCGTGTAGACCTCTAATCCATTGAGCGCATCCAAATAGTACAGATCGCTTGACGGAGAGTGAAACTCTCAAGCGCTCAGTCAGCGTGTTTATCGAGTGAAAATCTGTGTTGAACGCCTCTCACACACATACTGGCGTGTAAAATCTAAGAATTTATTAGCCAATGGCTAATGTTAGATATTATTTAGTCGCCCAGAGTAAGATTTAGTCGCATATGCGAGTGATTTACTCGCAATGTAGAGGGTTGATGTTCTATCAATATTGGTAGTATGAATGAAATTCAGATGTACTAAATCTGCAATGTTGTTATTGTCATGTGACCTACCAGCATCAGTTGCATCACTTCACTGGCATTCATAAATCCTCTCCCGTGGCCTCATGGGCTAGTGTTTATGTCCATTGAATGCACACTTCAGAATCACGCCGGAAATAGTTAGTCATCTGGGTACTTTTTGCATACTGTGAATTCGGACATACTGCTCTTTTGTTGTGCTGTTTTTTTTGCATACTGTATGGTATGGAAAAGTGTTGCCATTGAGATATATTGAGGTGCTTTGTAGGGTAAACTTGTTCGACAACCTGAGGCTTGCTACTTTATTTTTCTCACTGAAGATTATTTCATGTATAAGCCGGTATTATGAGAAAGCACATCTCCACATTTCAGGATGTTGTGGTCATTTAAATAGTAGCTCCTTAACTAATAAAGCATATAAATGTGCAGTTGTCATTTTAGGTCTTGATCATTTCAGTGGCAATCAGTGTCTGACTGGGGGAGTTAAGTGTGTGCTGTTGCTTATTTGAAATGCTTTTATTATGAGTCCGAAAGTAATCCTTAGTGTCCATGTGAAAAGATGTTTGTAAATTAAATGTGTTACCGTGGTGTTCTATTGATCTGTTAGTGGACTGTCGGAGGCACTAAAACCAAAAAGAAAGGGAAGCCTAGCAAAGGGCCCGAAAAGAAGAACACAGTCAAGAAAAGAAAGGGCAAGGCGGCTTCATCCGGCAGCTCAAATGGAAACAGTTCAGCAGAGAGCTCGGCTCCAGAGGAGGGTAAGGCAGAGATTTGGATTCTGTGATGCTTTGTTTTCCAATACAACACTGGAACTGGAACAGTAAAGTTGTTTCTCCCTGTTTTACGCTTTTTAAGGTGAGGTGTCGGACTCTGACAGTAACAGCTCATCCTCCAGCTCTGATTCTGACTCGTCATCAGAGGATGAGGTTTTCCGGGACGGTTATGGAGACGATCTAATGGGGGATGAGGAGGACAGGGCCCGATTGGAGCAGATGACGGAAAAAGAAAGAGAACAGGAGCTGTTTAACCGTATAGAGAAGAGAGAAGTCCTCAAGAGGAGGTGAGAACAATTTCAAAGCTCATATCTTGAGCAACCAAGGTCTGAATTTATAGGTCTTAACATACTTGCATACAAGAAAAGGCGGAACTGAGAAATTAGCCTAAATGACATGTTTTTTAGGAAAGGGTTATCTCAACTTGTAATTAATTATTGCAATATTCACAATGTTGTATTCGGTATTATTATTTTTTTATATATATATATATATATACCATTAGTATTTGTTAATATTTTGAATTAGCCTTTATTTTTAAATGTCGATTTAAATTTTAGCTTAGGTTTTAGTAATTGTTATGTGTTGTTTTTTATAAAGCTGAAAATTATTTTTTTAATGTTTTATTTTTGCTTTACAATATCAACACTGGTTGTATTGTGCAGAAATAATTCAAATCTAGCTATGAATGATGGCATAATTTAAATAATTTGTAAAGAAACTGTGCTTATCAATTAATAGCCTATGCATTTCTCCCCAAAAGGTTTGAAATCAAGCAAAAACTGAAAACGGCGAAGAAGAAGGAAAAGGAAGAAAAGAAGAAGAAACAGGAGGAGGAGCAAGAGAAGAGAAAACTGTCTCTGGTCCCTGACACTCAGGTGGTAAGTAAACTGTGTAGGCAATTAGTCTTTCCTAAAATATAAACGCAAATATGGTGTGACATTCGTGTTTTCTCTGTCTGTTCATGCAGGTGATGTCCCATAACAAAGAGAGACGGATCAAGAGAGATGAGAAGCTGGACAAGAAGTCACAGGCCATGGAAGAGCTGAAAGCAGAAAGAGAGAAGAGGAAAAACAGAACCGGTAGGATTAATTACTTAAAATGTATCACTGTTCTTTAAAAAAAAAAAAAAACGGTAAGCAGAATAAAGTGTCCTTTGCAAAAAAATTAGTCTTCCATAGACAGAGTTGCTAGTGTCTGATCTGTAACCCCTGACCTTTCAGCTGAGCTCCTTGCCAAAAGGCAGCCACTGAAGACAAGTGAGGTCTACTCAGATGATGAAGAGGAGGAGGACGATGATGATGACAAGTCTTCAGTAAAGAGTGACCGCAGCTCAAGGTCGTCATCTTTTGATGACGAGGAGGAGTAAGTATTAGACGATACATTAACCTTCTTAGTATTAAGCAACAAACTGGACAGCTAAAATGATTGTGCATTATCAGTTTAAAAATGGAACAAAATAATTAAATGGTAATTAAAAATGAGCTTATAGAGATATACACTACCATTCAGAACTTCCATTAAAAAAAAAACCTACTATTTAAAACTGTAATGTTTTAAAACCAGTGCTGTCAAATCGTGATTAAACGCATCCAAAATAAAATTTGTTTACATAATATATGTGTGTGTATTGTACTGTATTTATTATGTATATATAAATAGACACACATGCATGTATATATTTAAGAAAAATATGTTATGTTTATATTAAATATATTTATATATGAATTAAATTATATGAATATAAATATATACATGTAAATATTTTCTACATATATTCTGTATGTGTGTGTATTTATATATACATAATAAATATACACAGTACACACATATATATTATGTAAACAAAAACTTTTATTTTGGATGCGATTAATCGCAATTAATCGTTTGACAGCACTATTTAAAACCGTAATATTGTGAAATATTATTATAATTTAAAATGCAATTTATTCCTGTGATAGCAAAGCTAAAGGCTATTTCAGGTTATTATTATAAATGTTAAAAACAGGGTTTTTTTTGGAAACCAGTATAAAAGAAATATAGTGTAATACAGCATGTTTATCAACTATGCACCTGTATTTTAGGAAAGAAGAGGCTCCGCCCAAGTCCCAGCCAGTGTCATTACCAGATGAGCTGAATCGGATCCGGCTGTCCCGGCACAAGCTGGAGCGCTGGTGTCACATGCCATTCTTTGCTAAAACTGTCACTGGTTGTTTTGTTCGAATTGGCATTGGAAACAGCAGCAGCAAGCCTGTTTATCGGGTCAGTGAAAAATTTCTCATCCTTTTCATGTTATAAACATCTTTCAGCTTTTATGACACCACAAACAATTGCAACCTGAAAGCACACATTTTAAGATACAAGGTGCAATATACCGAGTTATTGATTGGCAGTTTCTGAAATGAACTCCTGCAGGTGGCTGAAATCATTGATGTGGTGGAGACGGCTAAAGTTTATCAGTTGGGGTCCACACGGACAAATAAAGGCCTTCAGCTCCGGTACGTTTGCACAAGAAAACTGATTATATATGCATTCATCTCTTAGTCTTCCACCACTTATGTAATGTGCCATGTTTGCAGACATGGAAATGACACGCGAGTCTTCAGACTTGAGTTTGTGTCCAATCAGGAGTTCGCTGAAAGCGAATTCATGAAATGGAAAGAGGCGGTAAGTTTCATGTAGTTGCATTTTAGGTTAATCGTAGGACTGCAGTCAACCTATGGCATTATGGGATTGCATGACCAGTAGTAACCTTGTTGCTGCCCCATAGATGATATCAGCAGGAATGCAGTTTCCTACTCTGGATGAGATCGGCAAAAAAGAGCAGTCCATCAAGGAGGCGGTCAACTACAAATTCAATGACAAAGACATTGAGGATGTACGTCCCAGTGCCATCATTTCGCATTGTCTTTATATTAGAATGATTTCTGAAGGATCATGTGACACTGAAGACTGCAGTAATGACTGCTAGAAATTCAGCTTTGAATCACAGAAAAAAAATACATTTTAAAATGTATTTGTTTTCTGTGATTCAAAGCTGAATTTCTAGCAGTCATTACTGCAGTCTTCAGTGTCACATGATCCTTCAGAAATCATTCTAATATGCTTATTTGGTGCTCAAGAAACATTTATTATTATTATCAATGTTGAAATCAATTAATATGAAAAGAATATTATTTTTGGAATAAAAATCTTTTGTAACATTAAAATTGTATTTGCTGTTACTTTTTTATCAGTTTGGTGTGGCCTTGCTGAATAAAAGTTATAATTTCTTTTTAAAACCTTTAACCTGTCCTCTTCATAATCGTTTTTTTCTTTCTTTCTTTTCCAGCTATATCAACCAGAGGAATAGGAGTTGGAACATTGTGGAGTCTGAGAAGGCATTGGTGGTAAGTGCTGTTTTGAGCTGTTACTCTACTAAGGAACATTCTGGAATCTGAAATGTCTTGGTTGTTTTTCAGGCAGAGGGTCAGAACTCGAAGAACCAGCAGATGGATCCGTTCACCAGGCGACAGTGTAAACCAACTATGGTGTCCAATGTGAGGCATCTTTCTGTCAGCTCTGCTGTTTTCCATCGCTTTTAAGCTCATCCTTTTCTGGTCATTTTAAAAACTGAATTCTCTCTCTTTCTTCCTCAGGCGAGAGATCCCTCAGTCCATGCCGCGATTTTGGCTCATCTCAACCAGAAGTACGGTTCCGGCTCAGGCCAAGACAACAGCCAGCAGGCTAATAAACAGGTAACACGCACAAACACGCCCACAGCAACATGAGCTTGTTCTGACCCAGAATTCACTTGCTTAATTTGTTTATTATGCAGGGCCAGCCTAGCCAGAAAGACAAAGACGTTACCAAGCCAAACAGTGACCTCTCAGAGGACCTTTTTAAAGTTCATGACTTTGATGTCAAAATTGACCTGCAGGTTCCTAATGCTGGTGAGTTTGTCTCGGATCTAATAGCCATATTCGATTTTAGCACAATTAAGCAGTGCAGTGCAATGCATTTTTTCAAAAGAAATTAATGTTTGTTCAGCAAGGACGCATTAAATTGATCAAAAGTGACAGTAAAGCCATTTATAATGTTACAAATTTCTATTTAAAAAAAATTCTGTTCTTTTGAACTTTCTTTTTATAAAAGAATCCCGAAAAAAGATCTCTGTTTCCAGATAGATGTTACGTTTGTTTATTGAGCATCAAATCAGCATATTAGAATGATTTCTGAAGGATCATGTGACACTAAAGACTGGAGTAATGATGCTGAAAATTGTTTGGAAAATGTTTTATAATATATTATAATAGAAGAGTTATTTGAAATAGTAGTAATATAGTAAACTATTACTGTTTTTAAAAGATTTGTTTCAAAAACATCAAACCCCTAACTTTTGAACAGTTGTGTATATGATTCTGATCCTATGAACTGATGTCTTAAATTTTACAATTTATTTCATTCATCCACAGAAGCAAAGTCTTTGGCGGTGAGTTCGAATGCATTACCTGTTAAAGATGGGGCACCACGCCGATCTCTCAACCTGGAGGACTACAAGAAGAGACGAGGACTCATCTGACTTACGTTTTTTACCCTCTCCTGCATGATTGGACACCTGTGCCGGGGGTCTACAGCTGCGGCCACCCCTGTGTGTGTGAGTGTGTTTGGGAAAGTGTGTGTGTGTGTTTGGGAAAGTGTATGTGTGTGTGTGTGAGAGAGAGAGAGTGTATGATAAAGAGAAGGAATAAGTGCATACCTTTAAGACTGAGCGTGTCTGAGACTGTGTGAGTGTGTGTTTCACCTGTTTGTAAGAGGAAATATTGATGAATAATGATAACTTTCAGGTCTTTTCCTGCAAAGGGTCACTTTTTGAGAGATGAAAAGTCCTCTGCTTTATTTACGGCGTATGCAGACGTGAGAACAGAAATGCATTACCTCTGATTCTCCTTTTCGTACCAGTGTATTCAGTATATTTTGTCCCTCTCAGAAACGACCCTTTTATATCCAAGCTTGTGAATGACTATCTCAAAAGGACACTATTAAAAAAGACAACACAAATCTTGGGTTTTTTGGAAAGTTGTAATTAGTTGTCAATAATGTTGATTGGGTCTGCCTCACTCCCTCGTTCCTCCTGAAAACGCTCTGAAGTTTTTAAACAAGCATTTTCTTTTCTTCCCCCCCCAACCCATATGTAATGGGTTGCTAGGACAGTCCTGCTTAACTCTGCTTGCTGGTCTAGAGGCCGAGGAGCCTGACAATGACTTCACACTCCCTAAATATAAACGTTTGTTTCATGTAAGACGATCAAATAAACGTGTCTGCCATGGACAAGAAAACTTTGAGAATTGATGTATCTTTTTGTTTTTACTGCTCTTTCTTTCCCTTCCATATCCCTCAGAGCTGATGTAAGTGTTAATGATCATTAATTATTGATGAAGTCTTTTAGTCAGTTCTGGTATCTTTGTGGCATGCCTTGTAAATAAGCGATCTTGAGTGAGTGCGGCTGAATAAAGGTGGAACTGTTTCATAATTCATGTGTTTGTGTATTTACTATTCAGATGGCTCTTTTTGTTTTAATTATGAAAATATATTTAATAGTTTACAGTTGGCTTTTATTGAAATATTTGAGTCATTTCAGTTTTGCAGTACCTTTTGATCTCTGTAACTTTAAAAATATATATATATTTACCAGTTTTGAGATTTTAGACCCAACAACCTACTAATACCACATAATTCATTAAGTGTAAAGCCAGGAAAGTCACCTGTGGAGTATGGTTCATTTAGGGCCAATCTCGCTTTTAAATGCAGATGCCAAAATTATTGCTAAAACATTGGCAATGAGACTCGAGCGGGTTCTACCTCAGTTGATACATATAGATCAAAATGGCTTTATTAAAAACCGTCAAGGGTTTCATAATGTTAGGAGAGTACTTAACCTAGTGCATGCGGGAGATGGAGCCCCTGATACGGCCATTCTGTCACTCAATGCCGAAAAAGGCATTCGACAGACTAGAATGGCCGTACTTAATGGAGGTGCCAGCAAGATTTGGATTTGGTGACTTTTTCACCAAATGGAAATTCTTTTAGTTGATTCTTCTGCAAAGGTACTCACTAACAGTCTAATCTCGCCTTCATTTAAATTGACTAGTCGGGGTACTAGGCAAGGCTCACCACTTTCACCTCTACTTTTTGTGCTAGCTATGGAGCCTCTGGCAATAGCAATAAGATCACACCCTACTATTCATGGTATTTTTACAGAAGCTTTAGAACATCGCATTGCCCTATACGCTGATGATGCCATCGTATTTCTATCAGAACTTGAAAAATCTATCCCATCCCTCTTAAAGCTTATTGGCCTGTTTGACATTTTTTCTGGATTTAAAGTAAATAAAGATAAGTCTTCAATTATGTTTCTCAATGAACAAGAGAGATTAATTCCTAAAGTGAGTCACCCATTTGTGAATGCTCTAAATGGTTTTGATTATCTAGGAATTAAAATAACCCCTAAAATAAGCCTCCTCAGTTCAGCTAATTATGAACCTTTGATGGCTAAATTATCTGAAGATACGACTAGATGGATGACACTGCCTCTTTCTTTAATGGGAAGAATAAACGTGATTAAGATGAATATACTACCTAAATTTGTATATGTTTTTCAATCACTACCGCGTCCCCCTCCCCCAACATTTTTTCTAAGAATAAGAAAACTTCTCTCTAATTTTATTTGGAACAACAGGAAGCCAAGACTGAGACTTTCTTTACTATATCTGCCCTATGAAAGGGGAGGGCTCCAACTACCTAATTTCTTTTGGTATTTTTGGGCTGCTCAGTTGAGGGCTGCATTGTTCTGGTTCGCTGTGCCTTGGTTACATGTTGAAAAATTGGCCACAAAAGGCTTGACACTTGACAGCTTTTTATATTCAGCACCCCTTAAAGAACAAAAAAAAAAGGACAGATAATTTGTAAAAAATACTATTGTAATCTGGTACGAAGCCCATAAATATCTTGGAGACCTCCCAGTGCTTTCCCGTTTTTCTCCTATCTGGGAAAATGATCATTTCAGCCCAGCTAAAAAGGATATGGGGTTCAAATTGTGGATGAATAAGGGCATGATTAGATTGAAAGATTTGTATGAAGATAATATATTAATGTCATTTGATGATCTTGTAGCGAAATTTCACATACCTCAGAAACACTTTTTTAAGTATTTGCAACTCAGAAGTTTTATTTTTACACGTTTAAAGAATTCTACACAACTCCCCCCAATGTCGATATTGGAAACAGTCACATTGCAAGATTGCTACATTAAAGGACGGATTACCCAATTATATAACATACTAAGAGGAAATCATAAAGAAATCTCTGAAAATAAAAGACAAGCATGGATCCAAGATATAAATATGGATATTTCATTAGATGACTGGAATAAAATTTGTTTAAATGCACAAACACAAAGTTTGAACTCTCGGTTGAGACTCTTACAATATAATTGGGTAATGAGAACTTATATAGCCCCTGTAAGATTAAATAAATTTAACCATATCCCTGATCTGTGTTTTAAATGCAATAAGCTTCAAGGTACATTTTTCCATTGTGTGTGGGAATGTGAGGAGGTGCAGAAGTTTTGGGTTGGGGTGACTCAATATGTTTCTCAATTTACTTCCTCTCCAATTCCTCTAAGTCCTGTATTAAGTTGAGGGCTGCATTGTTCTGGTTCTCTAGTGAAGCCGCTGTGCCTTGGTTACATGTTGAAAAATTGGCTGCAAAAGGCTTGACACTTGACAGCTTTTTATATTCAGCACCCCTTAAAGAACAAAAAAAAAAGGACAGATAATTTGTAAAAAATACTATTGTAATCTGGTACGAAGCCCATAAATATCTTGAAGACCTCCCAGTGCTTTCCCGTTTTTCTTCTATCTGGGGAAATGATCATTTCAGCCCAGCTAAAAAGGATATGGGGTTCAAATTGTGGATGAATAAGGGCATGATTAGATTGAAAGATTTGTATGAAGATAATATATTAGTCATTTGATAATCTTGTATCGAAATTTCACATACCTCAGAAACACTTTTTTAAGTATTTGCAACTCAGAAGTTTTATTTTTACACGTTTAAAGAATTCTACACAACTCCCCCCAATGTCGATATTGGAAACAGTCACATTGCAAGATTGCTACATTAAAGGACGGATTACCCAATTATATAACACACTAAGAGAAAATCATAAAGAAAGCTCTGAAAATAAAAGACAAGCATGGATCCAAGATATAAATATGGATATTTCATTAGATGACTGGAATACAATTTGTTTAAATGCACAAACACAAACTTTGAACTCTCGGTTGAGACTCTTACAATATAATTGGGTAAGGAGAACTTATATAACTCCTGTAAGATTAAATACATTTAACCCTAATATCCCTGATCTGTGTTTTAAATGCAGTAAGCGTCAAGGTACATTTTTCCATTGTGTGTGGGAATGTGAGGAGGTGCAGAAGTTTTGGGTTGGGGTGACTCAATATGTTTCTCAATTTACTTCCTCTCAATTCCTGTAAGTCGTGTATTGAGTATGTATGAAGACGATTGCTCTTTGTCCACTAAAGAAAGAAAGTTGGTGGATTTGTGTATAATACAAGCAAGACGTTCTATTGCCCTGTGCTGGAAAAATACAAATTGCCCTTCCATTGAACTATGGCTGAAAAACTTAATAACATGTTTGGCATTTGAAAAACCTACTTATAAGAAAGAAACCCTTTGAATTTTTTTATATCTGGGAGGTGTTTTTGAACTTAGTTAAAAATGGAGATATTGAAGATGCTTTAGATGTGTGAAGGTATGGATTGTTTTTTTTTGTTTGTTTTTCTATAAATTATTTTTATTTTTTTTACCTGTCTGGGGTAAGTTGTGGGGAAGGATAATGTGTTTTTTGGAAAAACTTGGTAAAAACTCAATAAAGATATGTTATACAATTTATTAAGTGTATTGAAAATACTTGCTCATGTTTGTACTGCTGTTTTCTGACCAAAAATGATGTGAATTAATGGAGGATAATGTCATTTAAGTAACTATCTTGTGTTAGAAAAGGAATATAAGACTAATTGGATGATATTGAGAATGCATTAAAAACCTATAAATTACCAATGTAGATATCCCTCGAAAATGTTTTGTTTGAAACATTTTGATTAGAGAAAGCAAATACACCTGAAATATTTTAAAGAAATTTCTAGTTTTTCATATTAGAAGTTTGAAGAAGAAATGTCAAAGTAGTAAAATAGTCACCATATATTCTATTAATATCAAAGTTAAGTAATAGATTTTGAATTAATATGATTTCCATACTTTAAAATTATGAGCTTAATGTTTTATCTCTTATATCAACATACATTTAATAGGGCAACGAAAAGTTACTATATTATATTATATTATATTATATTATGAATGCATAAATAAAGAAATGAATAAAGAAATAAAGAAATGAATAAAGAAATGAATGAATGCATAAATAAATAAAGAAATTAATAAATAAATACATAATTGAATAAATACATAAATAATTAAATATTTATTTATTTATTTATTTATTTCTGCATTTCCGCATTTATTTCTGCATTTATTTATGTATTTAATTATATCATTATGTATTTAACGATTTATTTATATATTTCAAAATTTCTTCATTTAATTTTGAGTAATTTGGCCCTCCATATATTATATTATATTATATTATTATAAAAGAGTACTGACCCAATTACAATCAGGCACAGCAACATCGTTTAACCTTTTCTAGTCAGGCACTGTGCAGGGCGCACTGTTATGGGTCCTTCGTGTAGTTCCTGGTCCACGTCGGTCTGGATCAGGATGAGTACCAGGATAAAAGCAGTCACCGATAACCGATCAAGGGACCAGTAGACACAATTTCCCCTGATATCCTCCAAAACATGCCCATGCAATATTTACTTACCGCTTTCTGAGAGATCGAGAGCCCCTTCAGGTACAAAAATATGACCTTACATGCAGTTATTGGGCAGAAGACGTGAAGCTGACCATGTAATGCTTAGCACTGTACTGTCATGTTTAGCGGATTTACACTACAAATGAACAAGTGTAATTTAATCGATAAATAGACGAAATGTAGCGGATAGTAATTTAAAAGTGACAGATGTCAGTTTTGTGTAAATACACCGTGTTAAGTGGATTTGCATGTAATATGTATACAAACATTGATCAGGGAGAACTATAAAGACATGTCAACTACGGATGAATAATTATTGCTGGAATATGCTTAGTATAATAAATTGATTTACAGTTTATAAGTGTTTTCATGCTAGAGACTATAAGCATTAATGCTTATTGAGAGGAGGTTAAAAACTCTGGATGTGTAGTATACTTTTAAGGGATGCGTTTTGTTTTTAGCTTATGTTTGCAT